CTCTTTGTGCTTTGGCTCAGTTTGCGGACCAAGTCTGGTTTTCCTTGTCTGAGGGAGGGAGAGGTCTTGTAGACCATCTCTTTGTGGTCGTAGACCACTTTTTCATGGCCGTAGATCACTTTTCCCGTTTGGAGACTAGTTTCTAATTTTCAGAGCCTTCGACTGCGTGCCTTGTCTCGGGACCGCTTAACGTTCTCCGTTTGGCGTGGTTTTTGAACCACACCTTGTTTCCTTGGCCTAGAGGGCCACTGTGGTTTGGGAGACCACTTTTGTGGTCGTAAACCACTTTTGGTGCTCGACAGCTAGTTTTCGAGGCTTTCGGTTGTGCACTTTGCATCCGGAACATTCGTCTTGTATCCGTTTTGTTTTTTTTTTTGGTGCAAACCTTGTTTTCCTTGTTTGGAAGGTGGTACAAGGATGGGAGACCAATTTTTTTCTTGGAGACCACTTTTCTTCCCGCCAGCCGGTTTTCTGATCTGACAACTGGTCTCCTAGGTCTTTGAGCCATCTTTTCTAGTCGACCACCCCACCCCTGGCTTGTTTTCAGTGTGTTGATCATCTCCCACCATGGTCGACCACTTGTTATCTTGGGAGACCACTTGTGGTGGTCGGACGACCACTTCAAGTAGCTGGCTAACCACTTCAAGTGGTCGGTTGCATTTTGCCACATTTTTTGAGATATTTTCCTCCAGCTGGAGGGCACTGAAGCTATCCTCCATATGGAGGGATTGCCTTGAACCTTAGCTTCTCCAAGAAGCTTTGCTTTTGGTTCTCTATAAGAGAGAACCATCTCCTCCCTCTTCTAAGGTAAGAAAAATTAGGGTTTGAGTTATACATATAGCTTTGTCTCTATCTTGCCTTGGTTCTTCATTTTTGTGTTCAAAAGTGTCATTTTGTCTTACTTTAACACACAAACACACACGCCAACACCATCCTTTTGCTACTGAGGTGCTTAGGAGCTGGTTTTGGTGGTCTTGGGTTGGTTTAAGCTTGAAAAACCTGCTGGAGTTGCAGCCTTGAAGAAGTTCATCAAGGGTGAGTTTCTAAACCTTAAAACCCCCATTTTTGCTTAACCTTTTGAGCCCTTTCGAATGTTGTTTTAAGCTTAACTCTTAACTACAAAAAGTTCTGTATTTTGGTGGTTGAGATCTTTGTTTAAGGTCCCTTTTGTGTTTGGGGTTGTTTACCCCCTCTTAGGCCTCGTTTGGCCTTGCTTTTGTGTCTTCTTTGTGAGCTTTGGGATCACCTTGTTTTGGTCCTCTCACCACTGAGATCCAAAATGATTTCAGTGGTGGGGATGGTGTTTTGAGGTCCCAAATAGGAGAAGGTTATCCCCTCTCCTTGAATTTTCAATACTTGTCTTGAATGCCTCATGTTTGAGCAGGTGTTTTAAGCTTGTGCTGGCTTGTTCTTAGCATGTATTTGTGGTTATTTTGCTTAGGCTTATCACTGTTTTTGCTTAGTTTGGTCATCCCTTGCATGGATAATACACTTATAGTGTAAATCTTACAAACTAGCCTGGTGTGTCTCATGTTTGAGCATGTCTTTCTAGCTTGGTTTGGTGCCATCTCAGTAGGTTTTTGGTGTTGTTTTAACACGCCTTAGATCTGTTTTTGCTTGGTTTGATCATCCTTTGCATGGTTTATGCACTTGTAGTGTAAATCACACACACTGGTCTTGTATGCTTCATGAAGTAGCATGTCATTCTAGCTTATGTTGAGTCCATTTCAGCATGTTTTTGGTGATGTTTTGCCATGTCATGACTCTGTTTTGGGTTGGTTTGATTAGCCCTTGCATGCTTCATGCACTTATAGTGCAATTCCATGAAATAGCCTAACATGCCTCATGCTTTGACATGTCATTCTAGCATGCTTTTGGCTTAACTTAAAGAAGATTTTGTTCATGTTTTAGCATGTTTAAAGTCTGATTTATGTTGTCTTGGTCATGCATGACTTGCTTTGTATAGCCTTGGTTCAATCTAGCTTGTTAGCTTTGTGTATTGAGTCATCTAACATGCATCACTTGGACTATTTTAATGATTTGGCATCATTCATAATGTGATTTTAGTTCATGTTTCATGCTCATGCATTCACATTTATCATTCATTCAATACGTTGGAGGGTTTGCCCCTTTATGCCTTAACGTGAGTCATCGCGTATGCCTTCATGCCTTTGCTTGCGAGCCATCATTTCAATGTGTTTTTGGGGTTATTATGCCATGATATAACTCAATCCATTCAATTTCACATTTCCAACATTAATTTCATTTATTTATACAAAATAAATATTTGAAACATTTAGGGAAAAACCTATTTTTCTTCCAAAATCCAATCCAAGTATCAAAATCAATAATTTTATCACAACTGAACCTCATTTCCACTCTGATAGCCATTTTCCACACATCCATTTGAAAACCACTCTTTTAATTTTAAACCAAAACCCTAGGTTTTTCAAAATCCTCCAAAACCACAAGATTGTTTATGAAAACAAATAGCTAAGTT